TATTTTGTCTCGCATCAATTATATCGTCAGTTATATCATTATTGCAAATTTTCAAATATATATCGTGATAAATATTTTTGGCCATATCGCCCTGCTCTACTTGGCAAGGCCTGTCTGTGTGGAGTTTGCATGTTCTCTGCTGTGTGAGTTCTCTCGGGGTACTCCAGCTTCCCCCCAGTCCAAATACAGGCCTGTTAGGTTCACTGGTGAATTCAGTCTGAAGTACGTGTGAATGAAACCTTGACTGGTTCTCTGTGTTAGCGCTGTGATAGACTGGCAACCTGTCTGGGGTTAACCCTGCTTCTCGCCTGAAGTCAGCTAGGATAGACTCCAGCCCCAAGTGGCTAATAAAATGGATGGATGATATGTCGGCAATGTTACATTTGGTAAAGGTCTACTGTACATTATCATAACTCTCTTATTTATTTGCAATACATGCATCCATCTATTTCCAGCTAATATCAGCAACTCATTACTGTGGGTTAAATAATTCATTGTAAAATGTGAATGAGGTTAACCAAGTTCTTTCACTGGTACAGCCTACATTCAATTCTCTCTGTGCTGGAAGTTAGACTGCCTAATACAATCTGCAAAATTAACACCTATTTTTAAGGAAACAAGATATTTTAAGACTTAATTTTGCCTTTTTAAAGAACAATGGAAGCCCCGTGTTTAAGTCTGAAGAAGGCACAATAGTGCCAGAGGAAGCTTGAATTTTTCAATAATGTAGCAAGACACGGCCAAGGACAGACAGATGCTGAGACAAAAGAACTGAGAGCATTAAGGTTAAATAGACCAAACACACCTCCTTTCTTTTCCGTTCCATTGTTTGAAGCGCAGAGTTTCTGTCACACTGGGATCATCAGAGAACCACAGCTCTTTAGAAAGAGGAGGTCTCATATATGGAAGGTCTGGCTCATCAGTCACAATTAGTACCTGGCAGTAAAAAACAAACAAACAAAAAGACTCATATTTACCAAATTCAGGTACAATTAAACAAGTAACAAAGGGAATTCAAAGTGAACATGGGGGCTTTACTGACCTTGGCACCGGGGTCTCTGGCTCGAATAGACCGAGCAGCAGCAAAAGAGGCAGTACCTCCACCAATGAGGAGATAGGGGGCATGTGAGGGCAGCTTGAGAGAGGCAGGTGTGAAGCCCACGGCTGATTTTCAGATGGAAGAGGAACAGCAAGCACAATTCAGAGTGAAAGTAAGACAAAAGAGGCTCAGAGTAACTCTGTCGATTCCACTCCCTCACTGGTTTCGTCAGTGCATCTCTGAATGCTATCTTTGTGGCTATTTTATCTGGGGCTGTTTTTAATCTTACTTACATGTCAGCAAATGAGGTATCATTTGCAAAATTCTCAGCTTTTCAATATAGACAGTACGCACAAAAAAAAGAGAGATGATGAAAGTATGACACACGCAAAGAATCTGTTGTAAAACACATCTCAATTTAACAAATCCAACAACATATTTTTAACACGTGGAAATTTGCTTTGCCGCCTGCCTGCTTGCACCGACCTGCTTTTGCCAGTTGATGTCATCATTTCTAATACCCAAGCATAGAAAGCATTGCATGCTCTAGATATTTTTTATATTGCTTAACATGCATGGTAGATGAAGAGGAAAAAAAAAAGTATGCAGACAACCTGGAGGCAGTTCGGTTGTTTCACTGGTGGCTACTGCTTCAGTGCCTGATGCTGGAGGGCTTGGCTCCTGGGATGAAGGAGCTGTTTCAGGTTTTGGCTCAGTGGTGGCTGAGAGAGAACACAGTTAAAAATAACTTTGAGTAACATTCAGCATATAGAGCAAGAGACAATCTGGTTTGTGGTTCAGTGAGAGATTTAAAACAGTCTCCAATTCAAGTACAGTCTGTAACGCAGTTTGCTTTAAAGCCTCAAAATCTGCTACTTACATGGAAAATAAAGTGAAAGCTAAACCATGTGCTATGGAGTCAGCTGATTAAAAGGCTCTTCTAACACCTTTAAAAACAAATTCCTTTAAAAAGGTGTCACTGCGAACAGCATTTAAGCGCTGCACTTAAGAGGCCTGGAGGAGATCTGTTTAAATGTGTCAAGGTTACAAAGCTTTACTTCCTATTAGTTATTAACATAAGTGGAGTTTGATCAGTAACCGAATACACAGACATGGCAAAGAAATCACTCACCTTTTGTCTCAGTGGTTTCTACAGCTAAAGGACAAAAAAAAAATCAAAAAATGAAATTCAGAAATTTCTCAGAGGTTAACAGTAAAGGTGAAAGTTGTTTTATTAACCAATAGTTCCTAAAAGCTGCTCACCGGGAGGCTGGGGCTGGATGGGTGTGACTGATTCTTTTGCAGCTGCTTTTTGTGATCTGGACGAAAGTTCAGTGATACGTGCCTGATATCTTTGCTGGTCTCCTTTCATAGTATGGTACGCCTGTAAAAAACAGATAAATTGACTAAGTTTAGTCACTGACAACTTCAATGATTGCTTCATTTTGTCAAGCTGTCCAATTTTTCCAGTCAGATCTGGTGTCAACGGTTATCTTTCGGTCATGAGCAAACAGGCAGTGGAGGCCTTTAAACTAGGACTGGGTGATATAGCCATTCAACCATTTTCTTAATTACTTGCGCAATCTGGGATATGCTGAGGCAGTGGAGTATATCCCAGCTCACAGAGGGGATCAGGCGAGTTACAACCCAAACAGGTCACCAGTCTATCGCAGAGCTAGCACAGAGACAGACAACTGCACACACACGCGCATACACTCATATCGACACCTACAGCCAAATTAAAAATCACTAAATAACCCAACATGCATGTCTTTGGACTGTGGGAGGAAGCCAGAGTACCCACAGAACCGACACTGGTAGAAAAAACGCAAACTCCACAGAGGAAGGGCCCAGCTGGCTGTCAGAATCTGCTGGAGGTGACAGCAGATCACTCCCATCACGGTTGTTATACTGATTTTTTTTTTTTTAATCTATCCATATAACTGCTCTGCTATTCAAACAAGCTTAAGTAAAGCCAACAACTAATAATTCATACTCTGAAAGTAAACATTAACTTCATGCATCTGTGAAAACAATCAAAAGGTCTGATTTGCTAAGATGACACGCTACAAAAACATGTTCTTTTAAAAAACACCAGACTCTGTTGACAAAAACAGTAACTTTTATTTACAGAAAACAAAAGCTGGAGGTCACACTGCGTGACTTAAGTGTTGTAATGTGTTATGTGGGATCAAAACTCATCGACTAAAAATTCAAAGTCTCAGAATAACACAAACTAACAAAGCAGCCATTGCAGCAGTGGTCAAACAACTCCTGTGTTGCGTGAAGTAAAATTACTAATTTTGTTAATGGAATCTGGTTTCTTGATTTGATTTCTTTTCCAGTGAAAAGCTGTACTTTCAGGTGGCTAAAATCCACGTCGCTGTTGACTGTGTCTACAGCAGTACATGGATTTTAGTTTTTACTCTGAGTAACACGGTGACTGTGGATCTGAACCTCATACAGGCTCACTTCAAAGAAAGTGAACCATCCCTACTTAACAGAACATAAACCAGCTGCTTTTAACACTGCCTATTAAATAATGTTGCTTTTATAGGGGGTGGCTGTAGCTCAGGAGAGCAGGTCATCTACTGAGCTACAGCCACCCTGTGGAAGGCTGGTGGTTCGATCCCTGGCTCCCCCAGTCTGCATGCCAAAAGACCTTGGGCAATATACTAACCCCAAGTTGCTCTCCAATGCATCCATCTGAATATGGATCAGAGTATGAGTGTGTGTGAATATTAGCTAGAAAGCACTTAAAGCATAGAAGAAAGTGCTTGTGTGAATGGGTGTGAATGGATGTTAATGGGTGAATGTGGCATGTTGTATGTTTGAGTGTTCCGGGAGAGTAGAAAACCGCTATATAATAATCAGTCCATTTACCATATAAAATACAGAGATATGCAGGCCTTCTAAATATCTTGTATTGGCATTAAGCATAAAAATATAGATTTGTTTTTCTTTTGTCCATATTGCTCAGCCCTTAATGTTCAATTTACAGAAATAAACACCAAGAAAAGGGGCGGAAAATCATTGCTCCAATTAATAAATTTGCACACTCTCTCTATGATGATAAACCAAGCTTACTCACATATGCCACGCCACCAATGGAGGCTGCTCCAACCAGGAGGGCATACTTTAGATTATCCCCACCACCCCCTGGCAGCCCACTGGACATGTGAGCTGTGGGTACATGCGTTGGTATTCTGCCATTGTTCAAACCTGAAACAGTAAACCAGCACACACATGATTAAACACTGATTAAAGCTACAGCACTCTTAATTATGTTCACAAACGTTACTAAATCAGGGTTCAGTCCTGCTTCTAATAAAAAGAAATTGCCAAGTAGCTACCTGTTTAATACACGCTTAATACATCTGTGGATGTTGACAGTGGAAAAGGACTGAGTAAATATATGCTCCTGTGCTTGCCCTCATCAAACCTCTAGGGTTTAAGAAAGCGCCTTAAATTACTTTTCTATAAAACAGAGGCAATGGCAAACCTATCTGACTTGCGTTGCAGGTGTTATTCCACTCTAAGAGTAATAGGTATAACGTGACATATTATTATGAAGATTAATGTACATTCTAGCAATCTACATACTGCACAGGTCTGGGCTTATCATTTCTGGGTCATCAGAGACTGCAAGACCCCATGATTCAAATCCAACATAGGCCCTTGCATACGCTACAAAGCGTAAACGGGCACAGAACATGGTGTAACACCTGTACCAGCACTAGACACGTGAAAAACATGCTTGCTGACGTTATCAGTTAACGTTGGCGCTTCAATCAATGAAATGAGGTGCAGTTTAAGTTAGGTCGTTACTGAAATTCCATCTTGCGTCGTTAACGTTTGCTAATTAGCTGAGTTAGCATTCTAATAACCATCCAAAGGTCGCTGAAATTTACGTGCGCTAAGCTAACAGGGCTACCCCCCCTGTGGGTTCATGTTTTGCTGCTGTGTATTATCATGCTACAGGCAGTGCATGATCAAACCGAGGTCAGCTAAAAGGAAGACAAGTTACTGTAACTAGATACTTACCTGCTTTTCTCACATTCTGCCGGCACAGAGTTGATGAAGTTCTAGCCAAAGGAGCGAGCTTTTTCCACACAGTCCTACATTTCAGCATTGTGGCTCAGCTCCCGGTTTACTCGCAGACTTGTCGGATAAAAACACAAGCCGGTTTACCCTTAATTTAATTCCAACAGCCTGCAGACACTGACAACTAGCTGCACGGCACCACACACCAAGGCCAGGGACAGGTCATACGTTTCTGGGGAATGATGGGTAATTGTAAAGACGGTAAAGACGCCTAAGATTGGTCGCCCCTAAAAAAGAAGAAGAAAAAGAAAGATGGCGTCGCTCCTGACATGAATGACAGCAACTCTGTTATCGCAAGTAGCAGCTATACTGAACTCTTTCATTCAAGGCTCTTTGGTAATTGCGCGAACCCCCTTCTTGTTCCTTTCTTAAAACAACTGCAGTCAGAGTTTACTGCTGCCCCCTGCATGTCATTTAAAGTAATACTACAGTAAATTGTTAAAAAACGGTTATGAAAAAAGTTATGAAAACAAAAAATGAGGTTGTGTATTCATGCAAAAGACATTTAAACATAATAATGAATATTATTTATATATTATTAACGCAGCTAATGACTTAAAGAATTTCAAGAAATAAAAATCTTTTAAAAATAATGTGCTTTAATGAATTTAAATATAGTCCATGTATGAAGGTTTATTGTAAGTTATATAAACAAATCTTTATTGGGTTTTTACTGTCATAATTTATGAGTGGTAGGCTAGATTTCTAATAATCTACAGGGAGTGCAGAATTATTAGGCAAGTTGTATTTTTGAGGAATAATTTTATTATTGAACAACAACCATGTTCTCAATGAACCCAAAAACTCATTAATATCAAAGCTGAATGTTTTTGGAAGTAGTTTTTAGTTTGTTTTTAGTTTTAGCTATTTTAGGGGGATATCTGTGTGTGCAGGTGACTATTACTGTGCATAATTATTAGGCAACTTAACAAAAAACAAATATATACCCATTTCAATTATTTATTTTTACCAGTGAAACCAATATAACATCTCCACATTCACAAATATACATTTCTGACATTCAAAAACAAAACAAAAACAAATCAGAGACCAATATAGCCACCTTTCTTTGCAAGGACACTCAAAAGCCTGCCATCCATGGATTCTGTCAGTGTTTTGATCTGTTCACCATCAACATTGCGTGCAGCAGCAACCACAGCCTCCCAGACACTGTTCAGAGAGGTGTACTGTTTTCCCTCCTTGTAAATCTCACATTTGATGATGGACCACAGGTTCTCAATGGGGTTCAGATCAGGTGAACAAGGTGGCCATGTCATTAGTTTTTCTTCTTTTATACCCTTTCTTGCCAGCCACGCTGTGGAGTACTTGGACGCGTGTGATGGAGCATTGTCCTGCATGAAAATCATGTTTTTCTTGAAGGATGCAGACTTCTTCCTGTACCACTGCTTGAAGAAGGTGTCTTCCAGAAACTGGCAGTAGGACTGGGAGTTGAGCTTGACTCCATCCTCAACCCGAAAAGGCCCCACAAGCTCATCTTTGATGATACCAGCCCAAACCAGTACTCCACCTCCACCTTGCTGGCGTCTGAGTGGGACTGGAGCTCTCTGCCCTTTACCAATCCAGCCACGGGCCCATCCATCTGGCCCATCAAGACTCACTCTCATTTCATCAGTCCATAAAACCTTAGAAAAACCAGTCTTGAGATATTTCTTGGCCCAGTCTTGACGTTTCAGCTTGTGTGTCTTGTTCAGTGGTGGTCGTCTTTCAGCCTTTCTTACCTTGGCCATGTCTCTGAGTATTGCACACCTTGTGCTTTTGGGCACTCCAGTGATGTTGCAGCTCTGAAATATGGCCAAACTGGTGGCAAGTGGCATCTTGGCAGCTGCACGCTTGACTTTTCTCAGTTCATGGGCAGTTATTTTGCGCCTTGGTTTTTCCACACGCTTCTTGCGACCCTGTTGACTATTTTGAATGAAACGCTTGATTGTTCGATGATCACGCTTCAGAAGCTTTGCAATTTTGAGACTGCTGCATCCCTCTGCAAGATATCTCACTATTTTTGACTTTTCTGAGCCTGTCAAGTCCTTCTTTTGACCCATTTTGCCAAAGGAAAGGACGTTGCCTAATAATTATGCACACCTGATATAGGGTGTTGATGTCATTAGACCACACCCCTTCTCATTACAGAGATGCACATCACCTAATATGCTTAATTGGTAGTAGGCTTTCGAGCCTATACAGCTTGGAGTAAGACAACATGCATGAAGAGGATGATGTGGACAAAATACTCATTTGCCTAATAATTCTGCACTCCCTGTAGTGTTGCCACCATCTGGTGGTTGAATAGAATAGAATAGCCCTTTATTGTCACTGTTCAACGAAATTGTGGGTGCTCCATGCCAACTGTGCCAAAATAAAATATAAATAGTAAGACAGCAGGAATGAATAACAAACAGGAGAAATATGTACAAAAAACAAGAGTAAGGTACACATTAGAGAACGAGTTGCGATGTGGAAGTAGTGCAAAGAAAAAGACTGAGGTCTGAATACTGTCTGTGTATGAGTGGCCTGAGCAAAGACTGTTACTCAGATCGGTGGGTGAGTAGGCAGGGGTGGGTGTGAGGAGATAGTGTTTGTTTACAGTCCGAATGGCCCAGGGCAAGAAGCTGTATGTGAGTCTGGAGGTTTGGGACCTGATTGACCAGAGGGCAGCGGATCAAACAGGTTGTGGGTGGGGTGCAAGGGTTGATGTGTGATAGCCCTGGTTTTCCTGAGACAGGAGGATCTGGCAATGGCCTCCATTTCTGGGCAGTGTTAATTACGGTTCTGGCCTTCCTGTTCTCAGTTGTGGCCCATATGTACCAAACACCCAGGCAGTAGGAGAGCATGCTGAGGAGCAGTGGACGGCCAGCAGCAGCTTCTGGCCAAGGTTGTCCTTCCTCAGGACATGAAGGAAGTGCAGCTGCTGCTGGGCCTTCTTTACCAGGGCGTTGGTGTTGTGGGTCCAGGTGAGTAAAAGGGATTCATTCTGTTTATAGGAATGCTATAGTCAGCCATCAGCTGCATAATGGTGATTTTGAAAGACTTGTCATTTGCACATTTCAAAGCTTGCTGGTAAATTATAAGGCAAGGAAATAACTTTGTGTTGGATAATGAGGATTAATGTACTTCCTTTTTTTGAGAAGAAAAGCTAAATAAGCAATGGTGGGTAGCTCTTTTTACTGGCAGGAGAAGTTACTACTTCCCTGATATAATAAAAGATCATTTAGTAAAAAAAAGCCTCTGAGTTGCTTTGTTTGTATGTATGTGTGTGTATGTAACATAATAAAGTCAGAACATTTCACACAAGTTACAGGCCTTCTAAATATAACTCTGCTACCACAAATACCAATACACAAATGCCAAAAAAAAATATGCTGGTATAACTTAGCTTGCAACATAAAGTGTAATTTCCTAATGTGTAGCATGTTTTTTGATTTGAGATTGCAATTTTCCCCACTTACAATGACCAGTTTAGCTAGGTTGTTTTGCTAGTTTTACACAGGTTGTGATTTGGTGATGCCATGGAAGTGCACATTGAGTGGGATTCTCTTCAGCCCTGATCCTCCTTACCCCCAGAAGCTGCTCTGAGACTTCATTAGAGGAGGAGATGATCCCCTTTTCTGTCATTTCACCTGTTTAAATTCAGGAACACTTTGAAAATGAACCTAACTTGACTCTGGCTTACCTGACTGAAAAGGAAACTCTTAAAAGTCCCAGATGCATTTTCCTGCATCAGTTTAATATGATGGACACTTTTTTGAGGAGTTCACAGCTGTTTGTGAAGCTTTGTGATAGCCTTATTTGTGTCATTTTAATTTAGGATATATTTCAATATGATATCAATAGATTTGATAGTGAATTGAAAGTTCCCTTTGGCTTCATGTGCTCAGAGTGTCTGGTTCTCTTTTAAACTCCTCCTGCTTAACACTCTGGTCCTAGGTGTGAATATTATTGTTGCATTTTCTTATATCCTCTTCTTCAAGCCCCAGATAATGATTCTAGGTGTAAATCCCAACAAGCTTTGCCCACGTAATCTAACAGGAGAGGCACTCAGTGAGTGAATATCAGATCGAAATAAATCTATGAAAACACAGGGAGGAAACACTTCATCTCAGGCTCATGTGACAATCACAGCCACAGAGGAGTTTTCAATTTAAATGTATTCTTGTAAAAACACTGATAGACTTCAAAGCTTTATTCCTTTTTAGATCATACCAGCAGGAGTAGAAGCAGACACACACAGGATTATTTATTGACTGATTTTTATTCACTGATGATGGTGAAGATTATTATATATCTTACCTTTGAATCTTCATTTCAAAGGTAAGGAAAGGTAAGGAAAGGATGAAGAAGAAGAGACAGAGGGAGAATGAAGGTAGAGTAGAGAGAAGGTGAAGTGGAGGGCCAGGGGAGAGAAGGTGGTAGAGGGACGATGGAGACAGGAGGATGAAAGGAGGGAGAAACAGGAAGTGGATTAAAGGTGGAGTGGTGAAGGTAGAGAAGATAAAGGGAAAGTGGAAAAAGGGGAGAGGAAGAGGAAGCTATCGCTCTCCCTGAGTTGAACCACCAGTTTCCTCAAAGTTTGTGTAACTAGTAGATGTTTTTTTCTTTTGGAAGCAGCTCTTGTTCTTGACTGTCTTCTCCTGTTCGTTTGTCTTCTTTTTCGCCTGCTTCTTCTTCTTCTTCTTTCCCCATCCTTCTGTGACAGTTCAGTGTCTACCATCTATCTTTATAACAATTAATTTTGCAGTCCCCTTGTCTTCTCTTCCAGTGCTTTCTGGACTTCCAACAATTCCTTCTTTGCATCGTGAATTTCTTTTTTTGCCTCCTGCGTTGCCCTTTTCTCTTTCTTTAGCCCTCTCTGGACTTCCAACAAGTCTTTATGTTTTCAAGTTTCTTCTCTGTTTTGTGTATTTTTGCTTTTCTCCTCTTTCAGTGATTTTCAACTTTGTTCTTAATCCTCAGCTTATCCAACTCCTCTTTGTAGGATGCTGTGAATTTGCTGAGTTTGTCACCTTGTTCTCCTCCAGATTACTGGTTGGTGTTTTGGCCTGCAGACTTTAATGGTCTGTGCTGCTGTTTGTGCACGCTATCTAGAGAGGTTCAGAGCAGCAGATGGGGTTGCTGGTTTTGGTCTCTGTTGAGATGCTGATACCTCCTCTCTCTGGGATGATTACAAACAGTCCTGGACAAAAATAGAAGCATAATAAGCAGACACAAGAGAAAAACATAAGACTGTTGGAATAGTGGATACAGGGGAAAAGTGAAGTTAATGAGGTAACTGTAGCTCTGTGGATT